TTTGTCGTCCCGAGTGCGATCCGGTACCCAGTCACGCGCCACCATTTGCGGTATGATGCCACCCTCACGGATGTACATTGGTGTAGCATAAGGTAGCTGCTTCTCATCTGGAGAGATGTGACAGTCAAAATCGACATATGTACCACCACTAACCCTGGGAGCCAAAGGCTGAGCAAGGATACCATCTAGATATAGCTTTGTTCCTGGGCGCAGGTTCATGGGATACCAGTGATCCGGAGCAGGTAGGTACAACTTTCGTATCATTCGCTGAGACTCCTTATAAAGAGCTGGGGCAACAAGAAGATCATTGCGGACCAGATACTGACTCCGCGTATACCACTGGTTTGCATCATAGAGTGATGAGTCCAATGGATCGGTAATGATCATGGCTCGCGCAATCGGCAAACCGTTGATCATGTTTTCAAACATGGCATCATAGAGTAACTGAAGCAGGCTGTACCTTAACTGGATTACGTAGCGGCATATTGGCAAGACAGAGTGATATGTATTGCGGTCTTTTTCAGGGATAAACCTCCAGTCGGGCGAATTCTGCAGTTCAGCGTAGGCATAAGGCTCTTGGAAGTGTTTCTTGCCCTCCTTGCCACTGTAATGATTTCGAAACCATGGTAGCAGGCTGTATGCGCAGTACCATCGAATCACAAGTTCAGGGTCGGCCCAAGACTCGCCATCATGTACGGGTTCGAATCCACCAACATCCGCTCCGGCAATAGTTACACCAGCGAGTCCTAGTGCAAGCACCTGTGTCACAGAGATATCAAAAAATTCCCAGGTAGAAGCGTTGTCGCCGGTCCAGAGTCCCGCAAAGCGTTGAGCACCGGCAAAGCTGCCACGGCCGATGATGAAATTACGTTTACCCTTGCGACTTTCAAGCTCCTGCAAACCATGAAATGTAGCTTTATGGAGATTGTAGCTGTATAGAGACCAGATTTCAATCGCCTTTTTTTGTTCAGAAGCCTTAGGATCCCCACTCCAGCCGTCCGAATCCAGGAGTAGACGGAATGGCCAACTTTCACGGCTGTCAGCCCTCGTGCCCAGATAATGCATGATTTGAGAGGTTTACTTACGATTTCATATCGCCAAATGCTTCAGCCATGCACGGAGATGTCATGTCTTGCCAAACAAACTCAAGGCCTGTCTGGAAAAGGTATGTGTATTGCCTTCCCCACCACTCCCTGACTTCTTGATTGTTCAAGTTGGGATAGTAACCTGGAGCCCCCCTACCATCTCCATAATCGACACCCCCTCGGAATGGGACTGGGGTTTCCTTATTGAAAAGATTCTCAAGCTGATAGTCACCTCGGGTCTCGTACTTTGGTAGGTCATCAAAGTTGTTGGGATTCTTGAAGTATCTGTTTCCAGCCCCAAAATTAAGAGATATTTGCTTATCATGGGAGCTCGCTGAGGGATCGATATCACGGCTATCCATAACGAAGTATTTTTTCTTTAAACCCTCATCAAGAACTGAGTAGGGATTTTTGGGGTCAGAAAGGAGACTAATGACAGGCGTGATATTTGTGCTGCATTTGACTCCCTGCTTCCGGAGCCGACTGAACATTTCCTCAGGTTGTGGAAAATGGCCTTCGTCTGTGTTGATACTGAAAGTTCGGTATAGGCGCTGAATGTCGACGTCGATGTGCATTCCGTCCAGTGGGATTTGGTACTTCCTATACTGGTTGACTGTCTTCTCCACCTTTTTTCGCGTGTCATAGCCATAACATCCTTGATGATTTCCCAGCACGAAGCGTGGATTCAGCTGCGGTCTGCCAATGAGCGACGTGTACAGGCGAATCACTTGTGCAACATCGTCACCAGCGATGAAAATGCTTTGGAAGCTATTGAATCTAGTTGCGATACGGAGCTGCGTAGCATCAACGCGGCCAAGGTCTAGCTTGACATCGGAATAGTTGTCCACAAATGTGGCTAACTGAGATTGTGTACCAGGATGTGCATTCATTTCGATCCAGTATGGCTCAGAATGGTACAGAGGCTCACTATCTGAATACGGCCCATCCTTGCGATCTTTCCCATAGACGTTGAAGTATCGCATGTTGTCAAAATCTCAAAAGAACTGTTAGGCAACTGAGCAGAATACTGAGGGTGTCAAGACTCACTAAAGTAGTTCATGCAGACGTTGTCTTTAAACAGCCTGCGCCCGCCTTGCTCACCAAAACCCGCATATCTTGCGCTCAGTGGCTTTTCAATTGCCAGAACGGTTGCATTATCCAGCCATTGTAGTGGATTATTTTTGGTTCGCCAGATGACAGCAACTTGTGAGTCTGGAGGTGTGTTAATTGTCAATTTTTTCACAAGCTCAGGCTTGACATTTGAGATTAGTGACAACGTTGGTAGCTGCGTCACAACACCGGTAGTTCTGATTGCTCTGACTGCGGTGATGTTGATTGGGTTCCGTTCAATCCACAGCTGGACAATCACCTTGCGAGACGGATCGTCTCCTGATTCGGAGCCGAGGACTGATTGCAAAACGTAGTATTCATTGTTCGGCTGTATGAGTTCGACATGCCAGGACAAGCCCTCAGCAAGGTCCAAAATCTCAATAGTCTTTGTAAGCGTATCCTGGACGATGGTTCTCGTGTTATAGTCGGAAAAGTCAGAGGGCATTACGTTTGTGCTATGGAACCTGATACGCCAGACTTGTGGACGCATGAATTGGATCAGCAGGAAACCCAACTCATTATTGAAACGAAAGATTCTTCCATGGCTCGAAACTGGAAGCGGCGTGCCATTGGCTTGCTGGTCTGTCTCTTCGCATGATATTGTATGAGGCTGTTTTGTCTTTCCAATAGCAATTTCTTTGAAAAACCACTCTGCTGGTTTGAAGATGTACGGGTCTTGGGTCTTCCAATATTTCGCGGGCGTATCAGCGTTGTCTGAAGTTGGCGGATACACTTCAAGTGCCTCGAGCCCCATTTCGTCGAATTTCAAGACGGGCGCAAGGAGAACTGAGAGTGAACGGTGAGTAAAGAAATTCGCACCTTGTGCCTGAGTGATTGAAAATTGATAGGAAAAAGTCAATTCCTCACCCGAGGTTGATTAGTGCAGAAAGGGGAAGCATTAGCACGACATAGAATGCTGCAAGGGGAGCATTAGCTCGACATAGAATGATGCAGGGGAAGCATTAGCACTGCGTAGAATGCTGCAGGCTAAGCAAGGGTAGAGCTGGAGCTAAATCACTAGTACACGTAGCAAAGGGGTCTAGGCTTCCCGCCAACGCATCTGTTCTGATTCTGCATAGCTAAACCATGATTCGTGCATAAGAGCTAAAGATTGATAAGCTAAGAAAACGCTCGATAGATGGACGACTGGAAAGCTGGCTAACCGAGCTGCAGTTTGATATGCAGCTTTTCCAGTGGATGCAACAAAACCAAAACAACCCTAGTATTACATTCGATGAGTATCTACTAAAGTAGGGTTGGACAATGATGAATTGCTTGAGCTGTGCCGTAGGTAAGCGAGAGAGAGGGGCGAAGGTTAAACGAGTCGTTTAGAACGACCACGTAGTAAGCAGGGGTCGGCATTAGCAGGCTTAGCTAGTGCGGGCGAGAGACTAGATACGGATGTACACGGATGTACCTAGATATACACATACACCCTTTACTTGTAAAAATACAACATTTCTCTCTTAGTTTTAATGTAATTTTAATATTCTAATAAACATAAGTGTTTATAGAAAAGATACATAATATACAATATAGTTGTAATGGGCGGGCTCTTTAAGCCGAGCGTACAACTACTTAAGTCGACCATTTTGTCAAAAAGGGAGTAACAAGACTTCAAGCTTATCTTAAAGTCAAGGTAATTGCGTAGATATATTTGATTTCCTTAGCCTAGCCAAGCCATACACATGGGCGTAGCCCCTTACAATAGTAAGTAAAATATTAACTTATACTAAGAATTATAAGTACGAGAACTATACTACTAAGTATACAAACATTGTGTGAGATGTTTCGCTGATGGGCACAAAGTAACTAAGTTGAAGTGAATTCAGACGAATTTTCAAAGAGTGACCTGAGGTTCAGACGAGACTATATACTCTGTACACGTGACTAGGACTGCTCTAGCCCGAGGGGTACCCGATAGATCACCAAGGGTTCTCCTCCAGTTCAGAGTATCGTGACACTTTTCGTAATATATCCCTCTAAGTAGTTTTTATATTATATACCATATTAGATATTGGTAAGGGCGAAGAGGCCTTCCAACGAGTTTGCATTAACCTATGTTACAAAATAAGATAAAGCAAGTAAAGCTATCGTACGACGTCTCTGAATTTATACGCTTGCCTTAGGTTCCTTCGTACGAATAAGGTTTCGTAGCTAAGCGGTGTGAAGAGGACACGTGGTATAATCACGTGTTTCACTCACGGTGTAATGGGCTGAACGCCCTTCGCCTCTCATACTCGTCTACGACCTCATTTACTCTACCTGCCCGGCCCGATTGTTACCCTAGCAACCGGTATTGTATATAGATAGCTACATAGCTGAGAGTTTAGCTCTCTGTTGAATACAATCTTGTTACCTTAGCCTGTCCGATTGTGCTCCCGAGCTTAAGACTACTCCCCGGAGTTGCGCCCCTTACATACAGGCGCAACCTATTATGGATATAATATCTATAAAGAGTATTATAATACTATACATAGTATAGAGATAATAGGCAGTTGGTCGTATAGAAACCATATATTCTTAACTTACATAGTTACCTAATTACTAAACTACTATCACTCTTGTAATAGAGTCACATAAGCTGGTCTTTGCTTGTAAGCGCCCTGCGCTGCCTTAGATCTTAACACGCGGGCCACCCTTTGTACTATATGGGCCTGCTCTACGTGACCTGGAGTTCATTTCACATTGCCATCCCCGCCGATTAAGCTACTTAACACGGTTCGCGTTTTAACGTGCCCACTACAAAGCAATGGCTCTTGAATATCCCAGAGACTATCTACCCACGCGAGTGTTCGTCAAGAACTACACGTCTGTCGTAAAGTTATGGCTCTTGAACCCGCTAAGAGATAACCTACTAGAGCGAAGATATTGCCTACGAAGCTGCTCCTCAGTAGGCTCAAGAGCGTGACTAGGCATCAAATTTGCAGTCGAGGTGCTTTTATCCTCCCAGTGAAGTTCAGCCAATGACATTCCGTCTGGTCGAAGTACAATAGAATCAGGAACGAAAGCTGAATGCCCAAGCAAGGAGCTGAGCTTCCAATTGTCGATTGAAGTCAGTCGGGTCGACGGCGAAGCGACCGAAAGGTAACAACCACTGAGGTTGCGAAGCAAACCATTACACAGGGGATAAAGAGCATCGGTAGACTCGCTGGAGCCACAGTCAAGGGCTTCCGCATGTGGCACACAGATGATATGTAAAACAATAATTATTAAGTTCTCAGTGGAGAAGGAAACAGAAGCGGCATTCAGATAGACAGCTACACAATGGTTGGAATCACGCATCCCCGGGGCAAGACTCATTAGCCCAAAGTGGCATGCTGTTAAGGGGGATTGAATCGAGTTATCACTAGCGATTAACACTGACAGTGGCCATTGGAGCTCCGGGACCTCCACAGGTATCAATCCAGTCTATGTCCAATTTGAAAGTTAGTTCATTCCAAGCAGATAACTCTTCGTTAGTGCTAAAGGGAAAAGTGGCGCAGATGAGCGAAGTCCCAAAACCAGCGCCATGGACCGCTCCAGTCATGCGGATGTATTAAGTCATTTATGATAACGAATATCCAAGACCCTATTTCTGAAGGCCTAAAATATTGAACCACTAACTGCGCTATATTGAATCTTGCGGCGCTTTATACTCCTATTCTCTACGACCGCTATATTTGCATGAGCGTCGTATATGCACTTAGCTCGCTTAGTATCCACCACTGCTTACCTTTGTACATGTTCAATCAGTACGATCTGCCGAGGATTGGTGAAGATACACAGAAGGCTACAATCTAAACCGCGCCTTTGTACTTATGGTCAAAATTTTCGCAAGCCGACCCACTTTCACCTTTATGAGCCTAGCAGGTGCAGCCTTGAACGAAACATTGTCATCCACCAAAATTAACCAGCTGGGGTCGGTCTCCTGACGTCATGTCAATCTCGTATTTTCTGTATTGAAACGATATTCTCCAAGGGTAATGCTTAGACAACAGCACGGAAATGGAATATAGGGGCAGATGATCTAAACTCTTTATCAGATATGAACGGTAGTACTAACAGCGGTATATATACCTTTGAAAAGTTAACCGTCGTTTTCCGACTCCCGCGTGGATACGCAGATCGGTGAAAACCTAGGCTCGAACTATAGCTTTGCTTAGATGTACAAAAGGTCAAACGGGTTAAAGAATTTCGCGGTCATTGGTTAAACATTCAGTCAACTGGTTTTCATCTCCTCTTGGCTTCTGCAGCTTCTTATTGAAAAGGTTGAAATATATTCCATGTGACGAGAACTGATCTCTCTTCAACGGTCTACTGCACTCCATCTTTTCCGAGTACAGATCTTGAGTACACACCTTCCAGGATGATGAACCAAAGCTCCACTTCGCCCTTGAACTGCGCTAACGTCTAGTGTTATACCACGGGTTGTTCTTGCATGAAGTTCACTCCGTCAGCAGGACCGTTGAAGAGAGATCATAACCCAAATATTAAGTGTACGTGCGGACATCTCTATCCCTGTGAGTCCGTTATAGTGTCACAGGAAATATAATTAAGCTGGTGTATGATCGTGCAGCGCATTGGCGCAAAGCGTGACATAATATTAACGGAGGTTATATCACCATGAAGAGGCTGGAGCGAAAGGGCACTATGGTACGGACTTGGATTTCAGTGGGCAGAAGGGTCATTCAAGAGTGCGAGTGGAACATAGGAGTTACGGATTCAGTAGTCAATCATTCTTAAGATTTCTGATTTCTCTATATGCTTTTGAACATAAACCTGGCTATGAATGGAATGTTGTGAAGCATTCCAAACTCCAACAACGTGATAGTTTAACGCAAGATGTGTTAAACGTTGAATGTGAAGGTCGTGCATTGAAATTCGTAAGGTGGCTGGGCCTAGCCACTGAATATTTCAGTTATATATGTATATACTCTCACTCCCGGGACATTAATTAGCTAATGAATCTATTATCCAACAAGATGTACGTATACGAATTTAGCTCTCCCTTGTCGGCACATCGTACGTTTTCGCGAAAGCGTAGACATACTGTTTTAGGTTCTTACGATGGGACGCTATAGCATGGCTTATTCTCCCTCCACGAGGAGTTTGTATAGAACATTGTTGTCGCGGTATTGTGGTGGTTGTAGAGAAAGTCACGTCAAGTTGGGTGAGGCGGCCAGCTTACTGATCCTTGATGTTAACTAAGTACCATGATTACAAAGCCTCTCTAACTGAATTATATTCCCACTCACGTTTCCTCAAGAATCTACCATGAAAAATGTCTTGCATTACTAGCGCTGATTGCTCCCACCAGGGATTATTTGCGTCTTCCATTATCTCGCGGTCGAGTTCCTTGCTTTTGTCCAGTTGTCTCGAATCTCTCAATCGGCAAATAAAGCTTATAACCCGTTCGCATTCCTTCCAGATGCGCACACGATTACGTATGCCTGATAAAGAAGTCTTTTCAGGTGCGAAGGAGTACCAAAGATGGACCCAACCTACATCCTCTGTGTGCTAATGACCATTTGGAGGTAGGGAACAGATCCAGCCCTCAACTTCTGTGCGGATGTCCTGCCATTCGCGAAGCGAGCGTTCCAATCTTGCGCGATAGGAACACAGTATTGCCTCTCGGCGTATGAAGTTGACTAATTGAACAGCCCTGCCAACATCACTCATATTTGGATCATCAGCTGTGATTTGGGCCCAAATCTCAGTCTCGATCTTCTGTGTTTCTAACCCGAGGGGTAACTCAGGTGGAACAAGGCCGGGTGGATTACATGGGTCCCAGGTTACCGGCCAATCTGGCGACACTGGATATGGTCGACCTTCGAGGACTTTCCAGAGCCAGCTCATGTCTCTGATAACCCGGTGTCGGTACAGAGGCTGTGCACGATAGCGAAATGTGCGGCAGGTGACTGCTATTGCGTTAACACCTGGGTCATCCAAAAGAACGAAGATTTTGTTAAGAAGCTCGACTGGCAATGCGAATAGAGGTGACTGTGTTCGTTTAATGATAGTTCCGGAAGTACTATTGATGAGGCGGTCCTTCAGCATGTCTACTAATCCTGGTATTTCCACGGGGTTTGCGACCATCCGTTCGTCACCAGCATGGTGGAGAAATGGATCAACTTCGTTTGTTTTCCCAGTGCCAGGGTAGGGCAGTTTTACCTCATCCGCGAACTCAAACCTCGACAGATTTTCGCACAGCTCCCGCCAGAGCCAGATACCGTGCAAATCGACATGGCCTAGCCGGCGATATGATGCTTTAGCGTATATATCAAGACAATACGAATGAACTGGGAGTGGCTCCCATGAACCGCGATCCTGAAGCCTTTCAGCTGTGTACATATAGCAATGTGGCTTGAATGACACTTACCCAACAGCCCTTGTTGACGATCTCAGCTAATACCGGAACCCTGCCTATTCCGTAGCGTGGCGGATAGGCATATTGGCCCGCCATCGACCCGTAGGAGCCATTTGCTTCTCCCGAAAGCACAAACAAGCTGTCTTTTTCGAAGAGGTTATCGGCAGCTTCAAGCTTCCAATTAGGTGGCACCCGATGGAATGGCCTTGGCATGAGGAACCTGTGGTTCCGACAGCCTTTCATCTCCGCTACGCTCAGCTTACGGCCGTTGATGCCTTGCACACTCTCACAAGAGGGGCTAGCGATATGCTCTAGCGGAAATCGAGGTGGGCCATGTTCTTGGTCCTGCAGCATATCCTTCAGGTATCGGAAACGTCGGTCTCGAACGTACAGATATCTTCCATCTACATCCCATGTGCCATGCGGAGGACAGCTCTTCAATGAAGGTTGATACAATTCTCGTACGGTACTGCGATGTGTCGCACAATCTTTGTCAGAAATATCGCAATCATTGCCCATAGACAAATCATCAATTCCGTCATCAGTATCGGCGTCGTACTCCAAAGGCTCGCTGTCTGTGCTGGAGTCATCATCTGGCAACCACTCGGCGTCCTCCTGGTCTTCAGCCCTATCTCTATAACTGTCGCTGGGGTCGCGCTGAAATACTGTGGGAGTGCGATCAACAGTTGCGCATTCCTGACAATTCTGATCTTCGACAATTTCACCGTAATAATCTCTGAGAGCCTCGAATCCTGCGTAGTTACATCCCATGTAGCCCCAGGCGGCAGTTGGCCGCTCGCCGGAGGTACGGATACGCGCGTTGGTCATGTTCATGCTACACACGACGGAACACGTAGGGGAGCGGTAGAGATCCTAACCTGGTTTAATAAGCAGGATTGACAGGCAGGGGTAAGGTTTCCGTCCGGCGAAACGAGGCGCTTCTATTGATAGAGCCAATATATTATAGAACTAGCGTCGCGTATAGAGATATGCTAAAGGATAGAATAAAATGTAATACAAAGTAAAAACATTTTTTTATATTTATATTTCCTTTTTCTTTCTATATGAGCCCAATAGAAGGTAGCAACGCTGCCCTACAACTCTTCTTGTTTGTTAAATTGCTCTTTAGCAACAGGCATCTAGAAAGCTAGCAATAGCTAAGTTAGATATAGACCGAAGCACTATAGCCACGCTACACACCACAAACTCCTACGTTATAAGTTATCACCTTATAGAACGGCCTCCGGCTAAAGTCTTACATAATCCTGGCTGCATAGACTATAATGGACTAATAATACACACGATGGTATTATAAAATGTATTTTGATAGATGCGCATGGTTTTCCTGCATCATGGCAAGAAATCGCATCTATCTCGAATATGATTGTGAGCCAAACTATACTGTTAACTGGTGGAGAGATGTGCAGAGTTAAAATACACTATCCGACCAGTGTTCCTAAGAGACCAAAGTCCCATGTGGTATGATGTGTAGAATTGAGGATATGAATTCGAACTAAGTTTCTAGTAGGCTTGACGGTTTTCGCAGATACTTGGAAAAAAATCGGTCCAACTTTCTTAAGGCATAATAGTGGATCGTTTGCTTCTGTAGCTCGTTCCAAACTGTATATCAAGCAATTGTGTGAGCTGTTGAAATATTATGCGCTGCCTTTGAAAATATGGTTGACGTTGCAAGTCTATGCATCGCACCTCCCCGCTATATGTTGCCCTATCCACTAGCTTGGCATTCACGTGATATGATGAAGAGCTGTGATATCAATCCAAGGCTTCCAATTCTCATGATTTCTATCCAGCTAGCTTGATTAAGACATTATATTGTATATGGAGAGAGGCCTCAGTCGTGAATACAATGTCTGTAAAATGCACGTGAACGTCGAGATGCACAAGATCCTAGTGGCATGCGTGCTAGACTATAATGGGCGAGAATCAGCGCCTGACTCGCGTTGCATGCACATGTTTTTGGATCAGGGCACGTAGTTGCTTGACTGGGATGTATTGGGGGTCGATCCTACGTAGCATGATATACTATGGAGTCGAGACAACAACTTGCAAGGAGTGACACTTTCATCGATGCGGCATCATCCACCGCTATCTATCGAGCTGCTATTGGGAGAAAGATGAGACAACTGAGATTTTGTTATTCATACCGAGCCCTAGGCAGTTTTGCTGATATTAAGAGGAAATTGTGTGCGGGCATTCAGCTTGTCCCATCCCAGAGTAATCAACCCACGTAAATCAGAACCTCTCAAGAATCTGCAATCTGTCTTATGGCCCCTCTTGACCCAACCATTCTTCTAGTAGGCCTAGCAAGAAAATGTTAGACTTTCCTCAATGTCCTCGGGAGATTGTGGTCTTACATCGTGACAGTGCCAAAATAAAGAGCATTTTCCACATGGATTAGATAATGTGGTCTTCTTGTCGCACTCATGGCACGTTCTGATCTAGTTCACGGCACCTAAGAACTGTTGAATCTGGTCGCTTGGTTCCAGCAATTTATCCAACGATATTGGGAAGATCTTTGTGATATTCGATTACGTCGGTGTACTTAAAAGAGTATTAGGTATAGGAATAAGCCTTATATACTTTTCGTATCTGTGGGTCTTCGAGTTTGGTACTGTGGATTCCGTATTTGAACGTGTGGCGTTTCGCATAAAGAACTGCGACGGTATACCCCTTTTAAATTCGTACTAAATCAAGTTCACTACCTCGACTAACAGCGTTGGAGTGTAGGGGTATTTTTTGTCGTTAGTATCTGCAAGTCCTAGCTCTAAATGATGGAGGGTAATAGAATCAGTAATTTCTCCTAAGAAGTACCAATGACGCAGGGGTCGATAAGTCTCTTTATAGTCTCGATGGAACCCTGAAAAATTCTAGTTACTATAGAGAAGGCTAGGGAAGTTGGAAAAGGCTTTTTAATTGCGAAGACTTGTTAATTGTCTTGATTAACGTATCTCCTTTGGATTATCTCTTCTCTAAAGCTAGTGCTTGAAGTCTATAAGATAAAGCTGCGAAGGAACGTCTTCTAATAACGTCTTCTATTTCATTGATAGACTATAGAGCGAAAGCGTAGCAGAATTCTGTGCTAATAAAGCCTACTCGGTCACCTCGCTGCTGTCACCACCCTAAGCATTGCGCCATCCTTCTACTGGCTCTTTCCGTAAATATTCGGCCTCTCGCAAGGTCACTATTCCTGATAGGGATTTGAGTAGTATCGAGGTATACTCTCAGTAGACTAGAATTATCTGGTCTTTGTCTAATACAAATCTAGATGCGTTCGTCCACATAGCGAAAGACCTATTCTGAAAAGTTCATTGCCATACATTCGCCGCCAACGAGATCATCTAGGTATTGGATTCTCTTCAAGCGTTGACCATTTTCCTCGCTCTCCTCTGCTGGTAAGGAGCAAATACAGCATGAATACAAGAAGCCAAACTTGTCTTGCAGTTCTTGGCGGCGGTCCTCACGTATACTGTGGAGACATAGGTAGTATATCGTAATCTCCTCACCCTCGATGTCCATCAAAGTATGCACAGTGTGTCGCCTAATACGTTTGTTCTAGTGTTTTTGTGCATTATTATCGCAGGAATGGTTAACGCGACAGGCTTCGAGAAAACCTCCACCTCTAGTGCCGTTTTCCTTAACAGGAGGGGCGTTCGTTCGAATGATATCAAGAAACTGCTCGACGTCTTCTTCATAAGGATAGATTTTGTATAAGGAGAGGAATGATCATCATTTATATTCATCAAGGGAATTAACCTGCTCAGATACATGTCTCTTTAGCCACTCATCGCTCCGTTGTCGCTTTGGTATTGTAACTACTGGACGTTTTGAAATGATTCGGGTGCCTTTGGCGATATTCTTTGTTGCGACGAGCCCTTTACCCTTAGGGTTGATATCTTATAGGACGTATATAGAGTCGTATTTCATGCTTTACGTCTGAATTATCTACGCTTTTGAGTTATCGTTAAAAATCGAAAGCTTGTCGATAAATTCTGCGAAGAAAACTGCAAAAACCATAAACAAATTGGGAAAAATATTTACACAGGCCAAATACGCAGATAAGTGCGCTTATGAACACTTACTACTGAGTCGTAGGATTATTTCAATCACCTGCTTCTTGAATGCTCACCATCACTCTTGTGCAACGTAAAACCAGCGGCAAAGTGCTTCGACATACGTGGTACCACAAGCAGCACGCTGTTGCTGCAGCGGCATGCCCTCGTCTAACCCCTCAGTATAACTAGTGCACAGCGTTGACGTACGTTCGATTGGCAGCGAGCGGAAAATCCAAATTGGCGGTACACTTGATACGCGGAAGTGAAAATGCGTGTTTGAGTCAGCGACTAGGGGCCGAGCTCAGATAGGCTTGAAGGAAAAAGCCAAATATGTCAGCTAGTGTATGTTTAGCTGGGGAGGCTCAATGTACTACGATCACCGGGCACAGATTGATTTTGATTGTTTCATTACACAACGACTGCTCTTGGCTTGCATGGCGGTAGTTATTGGTATCCAGCCTTGTGGCTCACCTACTCTCGATCTACCATCTCAGTCTCTTGTCACTTACTCAGCTATGACGTTGTGGAATGCCCCCGCTCCACCATTTCCAGATATAGCCCTCTTATATGCGTACAAATATATATCCATCGAGCCCTCGGTAGAGTTTACAGCTAATCGCAGTGAGTCGCCATCCGCACCAATAGCTGTCAGTAACAGCATAAGAACGAGCATGAGCGTCAGAAGTTTGGCGCAGCTTGGCGTGGGTAACGTGCTTATGATCAGCATCAGTATTCTCCGTGAGCAAAACCTACTGGACAACGTGTGCACGGCGATATTTACACCATAGGTGTAGTGAGTTTGACCCTGATCAAGCTGCAAGCACAATAAGTGGGTTGTACGCCAAGTCGACCCCACCTCTGATCGGAATCAATGCCGTTCGGAACGCATGGATAGTAACATTGAGCTCTGTGCCACGTTTAGATAATTCAAGTTATAGCATCTACAACGATCATGCAGCCCTTGACCCAATCATGCATTAGAGAAATTACATGCATCTTCTGCAGTCAGTGACCAAAGTCTAGTTAAGATCTTCGTTAGGATAAGCTACGAGTAGCTTTGTCGATCGGCTCGCCTGTGTACCAAGAAATTGCATTCCTATTCTAAAAGCCATAATAAGAAATCGACCCTTCTGATCTTGTGTTGTGGCTTATCATTCCTTGCATGATCATAAATTTCTGCACTTTCATTGGAGTTCCCTACGACTTGTTGCATAATGTGGCGCCGAGTATAGGGTTTCGATGTTGTACGAGCTTCGTGGCGGGCGCTGAATGGCCACTGATGCTGAGGTCAGCGTCGTGCGGAGCATGTGTTCAGGATTTTTGCTTGAAGATGATGGTGCCACTATAATACATAACTATTGAGCATATACTCGACGGCATCGAGAAGTCTCTACCTTCTCATTCTATCTCGCATAGTATTGTATCATCTACTACTCCAAAACAATGGCAAAGAAGAAGCGATCTAGCTTTCTCTGTAAGCCTGCGATTGCTGCATCATGTGAAATCGAGACATCTATGTTCCTCGATCAGCGCGCCGAGAACAATGTCCATGCAGGAGAGGAGGTTGTTGTGGTAGATGATCCCTCAGCCACATCCAGCACGAGCGTGGACAATGAAGCAGCAAAAGACGCAAGAACGGAGCCGGAACAGGACGAGTCTATAATATCGTAAGTTGAGACCTGATGCTCCCTGGGATCTGAACTTTTTGTCTAATAATTGGTAGCCCTTACGCCTGTGCCCCCGTTGTCATCGATTGCGGCCCAGGGCTTGCCACCTATTGCGTACCAAAACACCTTCTACGTTCGCCGAAGTGGTTAACCACAGATGCCGGAGGGATACTTCATCTCGAGGGAGTGAGTGCAGCTACAGGACACACGCTAGTCCACTACCTTTACACCGGCACATATCAACCACTCGAAGTAAAAAGCGGCGACGCAGCGTCAATGGCGCATATGAAGTTCAAACAAGCCCTCTTGACATTTGCTCTTGCTACCGTGTACGAACTACCGGACCTTGAAGGCCTCGCCAAAGAGCAGATCAGAACACATGGTGGTTTCATGGCACTCGACGAAATTCTAGACACTGCGAGGAAGTGCACATGGTTCCCAAAGATGGCTTGGTCCTGGTTCCATGAGTACCTGCAAGCTCGAGCTAAAGAGCAATTCAAAATCGACTATAAGTACTTTACAAGTAAAGTCTACATTGACAGTGTGGGCGATGGTAAGCTGCATAGGTTCATGACATGTCACCTTCTGGAGACATTCACTGAGAAGCTTACTTATGTACTACAAAATTGGGAAGGCCACTGCGTGAATAAAGAGAGGGCTGATGCATTGTTTGACGGAGTCGAGGATACAGCTGGACAAACACATTGTTTCTCTCGCTGCCACAGCAGGCATCCGACAGGCTCGCGCATAGAGAGTCGTAAACTGTCTTCTGAGCCTGCACCGGAACTAGAGCCTGCACTAGCTCCTGAACCAGAGAAGGAATATGACCCATGGTCGTCCTCATTTAGTAGTACTGACAAGAACAAGAAGAAAAAAAAGAAAGGCGCGGTCGAGGAGCCTCTGCCAGAGCTTGAGCCAGTAATCAATTCAGTCCCAGAACCAGTTCCCGAACCGAAACCTGTGAAGGAAGAGGATCCATGGGGATTCGCGGTGACCACGGGCAAGAGATTGAAGAAGAAGAAAGCACAAGATGAGCCCAAAAACGAGGAACCCCAACCACCTGAACCAGAATTAGAAGCTATGCTCGAGCCAAGCCCTCCTCATCCCGAAGAGGAACCGGAACCTGTCGAGGAGCTGGCGATCGATCCGTTTGCGGGAATCAGCAAAATGCAAAAGAAGAAGCTTCAAAGGAAGATGGAAAAAGAAGCTTGGTTGAAAGAGGAGGAAGATGCAGAACGCAAAGAGAAAGAAGCTGCTAAGATTTTCCGCCAGTTAGACGAAGACGAGGTCGAGCCTGAACGTATTCGTCTGGAAGAAGACGGTGTGGCGGAAAGGCATCGTCTAGAGGAAGAAGAAGCTGCTACTTCGGCGGCGGCGGCAGCAGTAGCAGCAGCAGTAGCTGAGGCCAAAAAGAAGAAAGAAGAACCTTGGGGTGTATGGGGCGCTGTGATAACGACTGGGAAGAAAAAGAAGAAGAAGAAGGGCGCAAAAGAGGAGCTCAGGGTCGAAGAACCACCGTCGCCACCCCCAGAGCCAGAGCCCTTGATCGAGCTTGAACCTTCCCCACCCGCAGAGGAGAAAGCGAACGACGGCTGGGGAGACTGGAGCGCGACCGCTGCTCCGGTCAACAAGAGTAAGCAGAAGAAAGGCGTCACTGCAATGATTCCAGAACCTCTACTAGAAGAGCCCGTTCCAGAGCCCGGACTTGTAAATATTCCCGGACCAATCGCTGAATCAGAGCCAGTCGAAGAGAAGGATGATGGGGGCGACTGGGGATTGGGTTCGATATGGGGTGTTGGCAATAAGAAAAAGAAAAAGAAGGGCAAAATTGCACAGCCTGAAAACCCAATACTACCCCCAGAGCCTCTAGTGATTGAGACAGCGGTACAAGAGCCATTTGCAGTCGAAGAGGCTGAAGCAGAGGCCAAGGGTGGATGGGACAGGTATCCATGGGGCAAGAAAAAAAATGATCCCAAGAAGGGTGCACTAGTGGGGCAGGAAGAGAAGCGGGCAGAAGATTTGGCTGTAGAAGAAGAAGAGAAACGTATGCAAGGATCTATACTAGAGATATCAAGCGTGCTCTGTCCTCGCCGCTCCCACCACCTTTCAGAGGGCGATGGATGGAGATCGTGCGAGCGATGTCGGGCGATGATTAGAGTATTCGTGGCTCAGCTAGAAAAATAGATCAAGGCAGTTTTGCTTCCGCATTAGTACCTATTGAAATACTCAACTATATTTAAGTAAAAGTTAGTAGCATAACTAGGAGTGAAGTATTAAAACGCTAAGATGTATGCATATACTGATTCATCCATACGAACGGGTTTATTATTACTTACACTAGATAAAGTAGAACTTATAGTCTAGAAGAAGATATTAACGTAATTGTAACAGGCTGAACGCCCTTCGCACTTCTCCTCGTCGTTGACCTCGTTTCCGCCTGTCTGCCTGCCTGCCTGCCTATTTCGATCTGTCCGATAGTTGCTCAGGCAACTCCTTGTCCCTGCATGTATATAGATAGCTACGTAGCCTAGATTCTAGCTCTCTATCGAATACAATCTTGTTACCTTGGCCTGTCCAATTGTGCTCCCGAGCTTAAGACTACTCCCCGTAGTTGCGCTCTTTACAGTAATAAAAGTTAACTCATATAGCTTCTACTTAGAAACTACGCCTATATTTATTAAATTCCTAGCTTCGCTAATACAACTACGTAGAATGTGATAAGTAATAAGAAGAATTCTCCCACTAATGTAATATAAACAGTGAATGACTAGGTATTATATAGGTTAGAAGGTAGTAATTACTATAAGGCGGTAATTATATAATATACCATCTCGCTAGTATATATACTATTCTACTAGATATATTATAATTTATGATTATTAGTAGATATCAAAATAAGGCCTAAGTGTAATGGGCGGGCCGGATCCGGCCTAGCGCGCAGCTACTCGCGCCGTCCATGTGACCAAATGGTTTGCACAAGATAACAAGCTTGTCTTGTCATCTTGATAGCTGGATATATATACTCGGAATCAGCGCGCGCCGCGCTAATCGCTACTTGGCATAGCCAAGTTACCATCAAGGGCGTAGCCCATCACACTAAGTAGGATACTATAGCTATTATATATAGACCAAATTAGATTAGCTCTAAATATTAACTATTACAGTAGGTACTGATCTTAAAAGTAATCTTTTGAGATTAGACAATCTAAAAAAAGCTAGTAGTAGAATTACTCTGGGTATTAACTCTAGCTCTAAGCATTACGTTAATAGCTAAATATTAGTATTAAACCTTACTCTATTATATAAGTTAAATAGAGTCTCGTTATTCTAATTTCCTAAGATGACTATAGATATCTAGCAAATTAGTCATTCTCTTGGTGGCAGAGTTTTGGCCTTTGATGCTCTGATTTTGAGTGAACTTACATGTCGAGAGCATAAGGGGTAAAAGCTGCCTCACGCTGCGCAGCTGATTAACAGATAGACGCTGCGAAATCGCACAGAATTCAACTTACTTACGCCCCCACTATGCCTAGTAGTAGAACCATTATCTCGTCACCGCCCTCAACTCTATTCTCCTACTCACTAAACGTGGGTGTTAGTTGTTCTAGTAATAGCGAGACATCTCTTTCGTCCTTATACGATGACCGAAACTAAGTGGGCATAACTGCCTTGATGCAAGCGTTCACAGATCTCGCGGTTGCGGAATGGATGGAAAGTATATCTAACTTTAGGGTCTGTAAAGTGAAGCGGTATAACAGCGGCATATGCTGGTACGCAAGTCAAGTTTATTTGCTGAAAGGAACCACTGACCCTAATACGTGTGGCGACGAGGGAGTGCGGGCTCAAAATCGAGTGCCTCCCAAACGTTTCGTCAGCTGAATGATGATAACTTGAACGGAACCTAAGCTCAGGCTTTCGCTATGCTACGAGAGACCATAAACCAGAGCTAGAATTCTTCAGTGTTCTATGGAAGTTCATGACGTAGACTCAGTCGAATACCACGAATTGGGTCTATGCTATAGATTCCAAGAGTGACCGTGCATGCTAGATGGATGTGGAAGGGCTTTTAAGTTGGATCTTGCCGTAATAAGTAGCGGCAACGTTCTAGGGTGAGTCCCACCGCGGGAGCTAAATCTAGGAGCCATGACACGTATGCAGATCAACTATGAAATGCCATTTGCCCTAAGAGTCCTCATCGCCTCCAGGACAAGGTCAGGGCAGGAACGGGTTGGCCATCCTCCCTGCTGGTCGTGGCAACGCAAAGTACCGCCTCGCACGGCTGCATCTCAACGTGATGCGTAAGCGATCTATTTTATTATTAATATGCTATTTTTGTACTACGCCTAGGATTGCTGCTTTGAAGAAACTAGTAACTACGACTTCTTAAAACTCTCTATAATCTTCAAGCTTTGAAGCTTTACGGTGCTGTGTACTAAGGACATCATGAGATCATGTATGGCGGCAACTAGCTAGATTTCTTGGCAGTTAAATCCACTATATAAGGTTGGTAGACTTCTGTGGCTGTCAAAATTCTAGGTTGAAACGGGCCAACCTTTATGATCACATACCTGATTTGACGCAATCTTTTGCTATTCTGAACCTACTCATCTGATGGAAGGACTATGTCAATAGAGAGGTTACAAATGACAGTATACTTTGACAGTCAATATTTGCTAAGAGAGAACTCCCAGATATGCACTTTCTACCTCCCAAAAGACCGGACGAAAGGTTTACCCCCTATAGTTTCGTAAGCGTCTCTAAAACGAAGTAGATACGTTATAGTTCGTTACGTCTAGAAAGTCAATACTTGTACTTAAATTCCTAGAACTGTGTAAAGAGAATAATCTTCTTTTCTCAAGACTAAGCGTGCAAAAGGAAGATCCCTAGGGGACTTGGAGTCTGATTCCGCTACAACACATATCCTTAAGTGCTTAAATTCGTCTATCCTCCCCCAGATTTGCACAGATCTAACTTTGTTAGACCCGGTCCCGCTTCTCGATATACTCGGTCTAGGAGAGGGTTGTATTCTCATAGTATGCTCCTCTTTGCCGACACTGGGCCCGCTCTTCCGCTTGGCCGGAGGCAAATTTCGGACTCTCAGTGGCAGTAGGGCCACCAGCCAGGGATGAAGCAGCAGCGCCACCCACCGAGGGCTATCCAGCACCAGCGGAAGATGGGATAAACTTTAAGAGCATCAGTTGGATGACAAGGAGAGGACATCGAGCCATGCAGGTGAAAGCATCGATGACATCCCGCTCGTTTACTATGGAGTGAGCCAGATCCACAAGACACTTGAGTTTAAGGTGACCACGAGCACAAAGGGTGACCGACGGGCGAAGCCAATTGACGATCGTGACATGTAGCCTGGTGTCAGTTTGGAGGCCAGTACTTCCTCTAGGCATCTACGCGCGCGATAGGGCAGCAGTGTCGTGGTGATGATCTGATTGGGCAAGCTTCGGTGTTGTTGAGGTAATGTTATCAAGGCGAGCAACTGTGAAAGAGGGCGATGTGAGCGGGAACCGAAACCAACATTGAATTTCATATTTCCACAGAAAGTCTCACTTTCCCTTAGTGAAAAAGTTATTTCGAGTCCTCAATACAGACTATTCAGC